TCTTTCCTATGATCATTTATCATGTATATTACAAAAGGTAAAATAGTTTCACTTCAAAATTAATGTGTAAGCATGTCTTTCAGCAAATATTGCATTTCTAAGTTCCTAATCAAGAGATTGTATAGAACAGTAGTTCGCAAAGGTATCCATCTCTGCTTCTAGATCCTGTGAGTATGTTCCATTATGTATGTGTGTAATTTAGTTGCAGAAATAATTCATGCTGTTCATAAGATCTTGAGCCACAGAGATAATGCTGCACTTTTAGATATTGTTCTAAGGACTCCTGTAAATGGGAAAGGGAAAGAGTGGAAAAGGGAAAGAAAAGAGTCGGAGCAATTCAAAGGTGTAACATTCCTGATTTTAGAAGGATCATCTGAAACTTGGAGGAGGCAAGGACACAGATGTTCACTAGAGTCCTTTGAGGAACTCAGTGCTAGCACATTTACTCAAGTTTTGGAGAAAACTGTGGATTCCTAACCTTAAGCACAGTAAGATATGCCGGGCCAGCGCAGTAGCCTAGTGGCTACAGTCCCCGCCATCCATGCACTGGGATCCCATACAGGTGCCATTTCCTGTCCTGACTGATTCGCTTCCCATCCAGCTCCCTGCTTTGGCCTGGAAAAGCAGTCGAGGATGACCCAAATCCTTGGGACCGTGCACCCACATGGGAGACCCAGAAGAAAATCCTGGCTCCTGGTTCCTGGGTCCTGGCTCCTTGCTCTCAGATTCAGATCAGATCAGCTCCAGCTTTTGTGGCTCCTTGGGGAATGACCCCTGGGTGTAATATCATTCTCTATGTCTCTCCTTCTGTCTGTAAATCTGCCTTCCCAATTAAAAAAAAAATCTTAAAGAATAATAAGATAATAGATTATCCTGGTTTTAGCCATAACATTTTTATTAGTTATTAAAAGTCATGTTTTAACTTTTGCTAAATATCTTTCCTTCTGTCTTTGAGAAAAACAAATGAAAATAACATGAAAATTCATGAATTCTAAAATTTATTAAATAAAGCTATAAAAATTCCCTATATGTTGAGTAAATAATAACAATAAACCAGGCATATACTGCTAAATTTTAATTGAGTAGCTACTATTAAATTCCTAAATGGGAAAGCAAAAGACAAACATTTTGTAAGAACAGATAAGAAGAAAACTGTTAATAATTGTCATTCATTTCTTCTATTTCAAAATTCTTACCTCCCCTATTGAATAAATTACACTACATATTCAGTAAAACTCACAAGGCAATGGTATATGTTAACTCGTTGCAATTATCTTCAACAGTTATAATTTAGAAAGCCATTTTAACTAGTTAATTCTCTAGTGAGACAGTGTAAGACAACAATGTAGCAAGTTGTGATTATCACATCTATTATATGAATCAAATTGATTGTTGTAGAATTGATTTTTTAAACTATGCATTGTGATGGGACAATACAATTAAGGGAAATTGTAACAATGTGGTGATAAACAAAGAACATTGTGGTATCTGAAAAAATTCTTGAGGTCTTTGTGGAACTTGAGCCCCCAGAAACTTCTTTCTGCCTTGGTGAGGATGAAGCCAATGGTGGCTTTACTGTCTTCCATGTGCTGTGGGTTTGGGGACTCGTGCTGGGGACTACTGGAGTGGGCCTGAGATAATGCATGTTTTTCCATCCCAAGGGTGGGGATGGGGAAAGGAAAGGTCACAGGCTAATGTAGTTTGCGATTCTGGGTTCAGCCAGACACAGGCCAGGCTGTTGACAGGCTTTGGGCAGTAAATCAGTAAAATGTCCATCTCTTTCTGTTTCATGTCTTTCTCTGTGGTTCTGACTTTCAAGTCACTAAACAAGTAAACCATTACAGAAGAGTGTAACTAGAAGAGGAAGGCAAAGAGAAGGAAAAGGCTCCAATTCTTGATTGTCAGAACCCTGCTCGAATGGATGGGAGTGATTGCACAGCAGACCACTGAGAGACGAACTGTGACACCATTGTCCTTGTTGGAGCACTGAATCAGGTCCTGCCAGTGCTGCCTCTGATCTGGCTCGCTGTGAACATAGCACATGATGGCCCATGTGCTTGGATCCTTGCCACCTGTGTGAGAGACACTGATGAAGTTCCAGGATCCTTTTTCAGTTTTGGACATAGCAACCTTTAGAATGTGTACCATTGACACTCCCTGTGTCACTTTACTTGTCAATTAAATTAATATCTTAAAAAGAATCCTATTTTGAAGTGTTTATATTTGTCCCATTGCTGACAGAAAATATCTGTGCATTTTACTGAGACCATTCTGGGCATAGCACAAGAAATGCTTTGCACAAGAATTACATATCGCTGTTCTGAGATTCTCAATAGAACCTGGATGACAGATTGCAATGGACTGGAATTTCATGATTTTGATGCAGATGGAGAAAAAATATAGACAAACAAAATCTGATAAAACCTGCTGAGCTCCAGCCATTGCAGTCATCTGGGTAGTAAACTAAAAGATGGAAGATCTCCCTCTCTCACACTAACACACACACTCTCTCATCTCTGTTCATCTGCCTCTCAAATAAAAACAAATAAATGCTTTAAAAAATGTGTAGGAGAAGGGTATTTTAAGAATGACTCTAAATTGTCCATTGTAGGGAGAGGTGAATGGTTATTGTCTGAGAAAAGATTAAAGAACACAGGAAGAATACTTAATCATTAAATTATCACAAAGGGAGTTTTTGTTTGTTTGTTTGTTTGTTTTTACTAAATCAGCTCAAGAGTATTGGGGGCGCTGAGAGTGAGGCAGGAGATATGGTGATGGCTACAACAGCAGAAATATGTCAGGAGCAGACACGGAATATGACACTTGGGTGACAGAGCTTTCATTTTCCTTCTTAAAACCTTACTCGAGGGAATACAGTTCTCTGCTCAATCAGGCTTTCAACTTTATCACCCTTAAATGAACAGAACTTACAATGAAACCAGTGATTTAGCACACACCCATTTATTTGAAAGAAAAAGATCAGTGTTTTTATTTTGAAAGTCAGAGTCACAGAAATATAGGGAAAAACAGAGAAATATTCCACCTCCTAGTACATGTCCCAGATGGTTGGCAGTAGACTGGACCAGGGTGTAACCAGAAGCCAGGAATTTCAAGTAGCTCTCCTAAGTGTGATGCAGGGACCAAAACATTTGAACAGTCTTGCATTCCTTTTCCCAGGCGATTAGCAGGGAGCTGAATTGGAACTGGTGCAAATCTACAGCATGAGTCCATGCATTTTAATTTTACATAATTGAGTCTAAGAGGAGGAGAATCAGCAGCTTTCATTTCGTACCATATTTCCTCATGGTCCATTTCTGGCTGAAGTAAAGCATATGTTTTAAGTCACTTATTATGCACGAATGATGTTGAAATTTTATAGAAAGTATATGAGTGTATTTCTACACATAATAAACAATTTATGGTGCACCTCTGACATAAGAATAAATAAGAAACTTCATTTATGCAAAAATATGGATAGATTTATCCAAATAAGATGCAGGAAAGAGGGACAGTCTGTGAGATCCAATCACATTGATGCCTTAATCTTACAAATACCTTAATATAAAATATTCATGTCAAATACTTGTACAGTTACTATTTTAAAATACTTAATTGCATTTAAAGATTCATTTTTAAAAGCCGAGTTGCAGATAAAGGAGAGATGCAGAGAATCTTCTATCCACTGGTTTACTCCCAAATGGCTGCAGATGTCCAGAGCTTGGCTGGTCCAGAGCTAGGAGCCTGATATATTTTCTAAATCTCCCTCTTGGGTGCAGGTGCCCAAAGGCTTGAGCTGTTTACTGCCGTCTTTCCAGGCCATTAGTAGGAAGCTGGATTGGAAGTGGAGATACTGGACTCAAATCAGTGACCATATAGCATGCTGGTGCTTCAGGCTTAGAATTAGCTTGCTACACCTTAGTGGCAGACAAGTTCAATCATTTTTTTTTTTAATATTTGTTGTAATAAAAATGGAAACAAGGTGGCATATTTACATTTTCCATCTTCTTTTCCTATTCTACACACACAAACACTAATTCTGAATGACGAAAATGGCCTTGAGAACATTAATCTGAATTAAATTATATGAACTAATCTATTAATAAAATGTGATACTAGTTTGATTTGTATTTATAATCCTGTTAATGAGAATTATCTTATGTCATCTATTAAACAGACTGTATTTTTGTTTCTATATAATGGCACAAATTTGTCCATCTACACGTATGTTGAGTTTATTGATGAGTAGTTTAGGATGTTGAGATTTTTACATTTAAAAGTATTTTGTTTTATGAAAGAGTTCCATAGGCTCTGGGTTTTATGTGCTTTTTGCCAAGGTCACTTCCCATCCAAATTGATTTCTCTTCTAGTTTTACAAATGATGTCCTTTTAACAAGTCATCGTTTCCTAAATTTTTAATAAAATTGTTACCCCTTACTTTGCTAAACTGATTTGCTAATAATACTTTAAGTAAAGGAAAATTAACAAGAATTTCAATTTCCTGAATATTTAAGAAATTTAAGCCTGAGTAAAGTATGTGTTTTGCAAAACTGAATTGATTTCTGCTCATTTCCACTACCTTGCAGAGTTCTCTTGGTTGTGGCCTATTTTATAATATTTTGACAATCACAAAACCATCTTTGCTCATAACACAATATAGGAAATTATCCATCAAACTTTGACTTCTGAAAATAGGATAAAAATTATTTATGGAAAGCATCAAAGAACTATTGGGGTGGAGGTAATCATCAGGTGAGGTTTGGGCAGGGAACAGCACAAGACAGAACGATGACTCTTACATTGAAGACTTTTGCTAAGTCCGGGGATGTGTTTCTCTGGAGGAAGCAACCAAAAGGCTGAGCAGACGTTTGCCAGTCTTGCCAGCTATGCTGTCTGTAAATCCAAAGTACTACATTCTGAAAGAAAGTGTGAAACAGAATTAAGCTTGTCACAGCACATATTACAGAGCAGAATTTCCAGTCCTTAAAATCAAATTTAGATGGTCTCTTTGGCAGCAAAAACACTATAATTGAAATGACAAGAAGCAGATTAGCATGGTCCTGTGCAAGGAAGACATGCAAATTTGTGGCACATTCATAATTTTAAAAAATCAATTTCCGCAGAGCCAGCACAGTGGCTGAATATGCCATTCCTCTACCTTGTGGTGCTGGCATGCTATATTATTATAAGTTCTAGTCCTACTTGCTCCAGTGGAAGATGGCTTAAGCTTTGGTCTCCTGTGTGTTTCCCATGTGGAGATCCTGGCTTCTGGTTTCTGGCTTCATATCAGCTCAGATCCCTTCCAGGCAATGTGGCCATTTGGGGAGTAAACCAGCAGATGCAAGATCCTTTCCCTCTGTCTCTCCTTTGTGTGAATCCAGCTTAACAAATAATAAACAGGGTCCACCGTGATAGCCTAGTGGCTAAATCCCTGCTTTATATGTGCATGGATCTCATGAGGATGCCGGTTCCTCTCTCACCTTCTTCACTTCCCATCACACTTCTACATTGTAACTGGGGAAAACAGTAGAGGATGCCCAAACCCATGTGGGAGACCTGGAAGAAGCTCCTGGCTCCTAGCTTGGGAATGTGTTCAGCTCTGGGCATAGCAGCCACTTGGGAAGTGAACCAGAAAATGTAAAATCTTTCTCTGTTTCTTCTTCTCTCTGAATCTGACTTTTCAATAAAAAAAACTCTAAAATATAACAAAGAGATAAATAAATAAATCTTTGTAAAAATTAATTTATGCTGGCTCTATGAGTGCTAGTTACTTGGAAAAGGGAATTTTATTCTTCTGGACCAGGATAACATAAGATTAGAACTCTATACTATTTCTGATTAATATGTTTTACAACAAAATATGACTGAAATGGATTGTTTGTTACTGCAGACAGTAAGGATGGTTTTATACAATGAACATTTCAGGATTCCAATTATAAGAATCTGAAAGAAAAAAAACATGTTGTTAATTGTTTTTATTTATCAAGAACATAATGTGTTATAGTTTGCCATATTTTATTTGTCCCAACTTTCCTATTCTCCATTGCCTATATATGCTAAGACTTCTGAAAAAAATTAAGATAAACGTATTTAAGCCATTTTAATAGGACTATAGGGCAGTGTGCTATCCTTTTTACAATAGAAAAAGAAGAAATCATTTAAAATTACCTTAGGAGAGCCTAGAACAAGTGGCTCATTGGCTAAATCCTCACCTTGCAAATGCCAGGATCCCAAATGGGTGTCAGTTCATTTCCCGACTGCTCTACTTCCCATCCAGCTCCCTGCATATGGCCTGGGAAAGAAGCTGAGGATGACTTAAAGCCTTGGGACCCCAAACCCACTTGAGAGATCTGGAACAAGCTCCTGGTTCCTGGATTCAGATTGGCTCATCCTCGACCATTGCAGCCATTTGGGGAGTTCTTTCTGTAAATCTCACTTTCCAATAAAAAAGTAAATCAATCTTTTAAAAAATTACATTAGCAAGATATAAAGTGAAATATAGTCAAACATATAGAACTGAGTTGAAATTTCATTTAGTATAGCAATTTAGTATAACTAAGCTAAGATAGAGAATAATATGGTGATATCACAAAAATAAATTATGCCATCATATAACTAAAAATCCTGGTGGTCACAAATGAGAACTATGGATCTCAGTTCAACAGTCAGGGCCACTCCTAGTGTGAGCACAGCTCTGTCTTCAGCATGATCTTTATCTGACACACATGTACAGTTGAATATGATTCCTAGCTACTGCAAGCTACACCACCATATGATGTGTTACATGGTAACATGTTCCAAATGTGAAAGGTTGTTGGACTCTATGAGAGATGCAAGTTGATATTTTAAACTCCACATGATTGGTTCATGTTAAAAATTAACACTAAAAATCAAGCACAATATGTGAATTGCAATAACCATATTTGAACAAATTTGGAGAATTGGAGGGCATGCTACTTAGCAAACAGGCTACACTGTTATCGATAGATGACACCACAATATATGCCTTACTTAGATCTAGAGAAGGATGAAAAATTGCTGATTCTAGAGAAAAGAAAGGAATGTAGAGGAATGACAAAGCTGAGTTGACAACAGGAGGCAGAGTCTAGCCATAGGCAGGACATTGACTATAATTACTTATTTTTAAAAATCCCACTGGTTTTATTTTTCAAGCATGTGTTTCGATTAGCATGTATACAGTTAGCATTGTTTTAGTTTTTAAAAAAATCTGTTTTTATGTATTCAGGTTCTCATCCACACGAGTCCCTTACTTTTTTAAAAATTAATTTATTTTATGATACAGTTCCAAAACCTCTGGAATTCCCCTCTACTCTTCCAGATCCCCTCCCCAGATGATTTCTCCTATTATATTACAATAGTATAAACCTTCTCAATTTAATTAGAAGCAAAGACAGGAGAAGGCTTTTGACTCTAAGACACTGAGATTCTCAGGTACAATTCTTGGCCTTACTCCCAATTCCAAGAACCTGTTTCTGCATTTTTGGGGAAGCAGTAATGATGGCTGAAGCCCTGTGTCTCTGGTCCCCACACTAAGGTGCAGAATGATGCCATATCTCCCACTTGAGCATGGCCCCACTGTGGATATGGAGATACAACTGCTAAAGGCATTTAGGAAGTCAACCAGAGGATGAAGAATCTGTCTCTCTCCATTTCCAATATTAAATATAAATAAAAATAAAATTTGGAAATAAAAATAAAAACAAAGGCAATTTTTTCCTAAATTTAAAGCCATTACTGAGAATACAGGTGTAAGAAATTATAAGTGATTTAAATAGATGCAGTGAGAATGAATGTTGGAAGTGCTCATCAGATTACTCCTATTTTGTAAGTGAAATAATGCAGTCAAGTTATCAAAAAGAGTTAAACGGAGATCAGAAAAAGAATCTGTGGAATGCTATGCTAGTAGAATGTGAGAATGATGAGCAGAGGAAGCAATGACATGTCTCAGGGTGTACCTTGGTTGCTTTCAAGTTTTGACTATTATACAAACACTTCCATAATAAAGGTTACTTTTGTGACTATGTTTTCCACTCCTTTGAGTGAATATCAGAAGAACGCACGCAGGACCATGTGATAAGAGAATAATTTCTTCTTTAAGAAATTGCCAGACCTTTTTCCAAAGTGTTTGTGCCTTTTGGCATTTCTGTTGAGTGAATAAGATTTCCTGTTATTTCACATCCCCATTAATATCTGTAGATATCTGTATTTAATTTAATCGTGTTTCATTGCCATTATTTCCCGCGCCAGCTTTCAATTCCTGCTACCTACTTCTTTGTTCTATTTTGAGTTCCATTTAAAAAAAACGATACTTATACATACATTCTTGCAAAGCATTAACTATAATTATGAGGAGCTAAATATTGCAGAGTAAAGAAATAACACTAAGTGATAATTTGAAAAACCTCATTAGCTGATAAATTACACTAGCTGAAAATAAAGTATCCTGTGTCCATATACACATATTTTTCTTACATTTCTTTCTGTGAATGTAAGATGATCTGAGTGCTGCTTGTTCTATGAAAAGCCAAAGTAATTCAAAAATTGCTTGTGACATTAGAAATTTAGACTTAACATTTGTATGGTAATTAGACCTGTAGCTTTGGTTAAGTAGTACCATTTACTAGCCTGATGTACATATTAGTTGAGGTGAGGTTAATGCATGATATACTGCTGGAGAATAAAATAGTGCAGAAATACTATGAGGAGTTATCTATTAAAAATAAGTGTGTCATTTCTTCTACCCAAACTCAATTTAGAATACTAATAGGGTAATAAAAATCACTACTGTGTAAAACAACTCACAGTGGTAAGAAGCATAAAAAATAGGTAGTAAATTTCAGTAAAGAATATTAACATTCATTAATGAGCTCATAAAATCAAATGCTGAAAACTGAAAAACTCTGATATCTCCAAGTTTGCTTTAAGGATTTTCTGCCAGCAGCTTTCAACTTCTGCTTATTAATGAGCTCTAAAAGTGGCAGGCAGTCAATAGTCACACAATTTCACAAAGAGATACCTGTTACAGTTAACTATTAAAAAGTTGGAATTTATTGCTGTAAATTAGAGAAATGAAAAGAAACAAGAGGTTAACTTGGAAGGAAGAAAATACTGGATGAACAATAAACTGAGTAGATCCAAATCATGAATCCGAGGCAGAATACTCAGCAACCAACAGCAGTTCCTGATTCCCACAGTTCTATTCTGCTCCCTCTCCCCCTCCCCCCCAAAGAAAATGTGTCTTGTAAAGAGTTCCTGGGAGATTGGGGGAAAGGGGAAGAGAGTTCCTCATAGGGATATAATAATTTAGTAATGGCTCTGTGAGTTTATATCTCTGTGGAAGTGCTTAGAGCCATCTGAAGGTTGAAACACAATGCAAGAATATCCATGTAGGAGTCAGACAGGAATGGTTTTGTTTGCTATTTGATCATTTAACTATACAAGACTCTACCATGCAACCTAATTTGCTACAACTCCACGATCCCAAGTTGTGGAATTAGTAATGAACTAGCTAAATTTTTGAATGCTTTAAAGTATTAGTATCATAATAGGATCTACGTAGGGTTTGAAATACCTGATCATACAGGAAGTAGAAAATGCTATATCTGTGAAACTGATCATCAGACATTGATCCGTGGATGTACTCTGAAACTTTGTTTTTATTATACATTCATGCAAAAAAAGCAAGTTTTAAAATGTTATCAGTTTGATAAGTTTCTTTTGAATGGACACATATTTTCATGTTTTGATAGTTCTATCTAAAACAGTACTTTCCATTATTTAAACTTAATCATAGAGATTTATATAAAAGTATGCCTAAAAATTCAGAGAAAATTATGAGAATTTTCATTGAAAAAGATAATTAATTCTGATATTAATTAAGTAGGTTTAAGAATCTATTTATCATCTTTCTATGTAAACACATGAACCTGTACATGTGTGAGTGTATGTGTGTTGATATGTGAATGTGCGCTCTTAAATGTTCATGTTAAACTTCAGATTAAGGAATACATATACAAATTAAATGTTTAACATTCAAAAAGCTAATCAGGTATTTATGATTACATGTGCAAGAAAAGTTTCAGTT